CAAATACTGAAATGGTATTCTGAAGTGCTAAAGAGAAAACAGGGAAGTGCAACCCCATCAAACAATCAATCAATCAATGTCATGGAGATTCAGAATGGGGAACGAGAGTGTGGTTATTAAGAGGAAATTATTAAACTTCAGGCTTAAAGTCCAAAAGGAAGTTGAGGAATGAAAGAAAGAATCCAGAATAGCAACAGATCAAACCAAAAACGTCAAGAGATTCAACAACTTGTGCAGCAGATTTTGTGGCATATTGTGTGGACAGCTGGGTCCACTCCACCTAAAGGTTCAAGAACAATCAGAGGTAATGCATTATTATCACCCCAATTTTGCCCAGGAAACAGGACCACTATTTGGTTACATGGGAAACACTGTTAGCCAAGGTATTGAATTGTATGGTTGTCTCTAACCAAATTCTGCTCTGTGGAGTAAGGCAAAATATAAAATATACACAGGGAGTATATTAGTTTCATATGGTCACCCTGACAAATTGCTATATATTAGTGCTTTAAAATGACAAAAATCCAGTTATTTATAGAAATCCAACATGGATCTTCTTGAACAACAATCCAGGTGTCAGTAATGATGGAGTCCTTTTTGTAGATTCTGGATGCAAATCAGTTTCCTTGTCTCTTACAGCTTCCAGATTCCACTTGCCACGGCCCCTTTTCACCTTCAAAGCCAGTAACGCCAGGTCAGGTAGGTCTCCTTTCCACCTCTCTGACACTAATCCTTCTGCCATCTTTCACATCTAAGGAACCTTCTGATTACATTGGACGTATCCAGATAATCTAGGAAAATCTCCCTATTGTAAAAACAGCAAATTAGCAATCTTAAATCCATCTGCACCCTTAATTCCCCTTCATTGTGTAACATATTTACAGGTTTTAGTGATTAGGGAGTGGACATCTCTGGGGAGAAGGGTATTATCCTGCCCATCCAACAGGTGTTTTAGAGATGAGAGCAGGGGGTGGTTTCTGGTGTACAGTGCAAAATCTAATCAAGCTGCTCCTAGGAAATGCATATTAGAGGACTTCCAATAAAGTCCTTAACAGAAACTAGAAATAGCCTTCCTTATATTACCAAAATAACAATGAATGCAAAATATGAAAAAAAAAGATTAGAAGGAATGAAAATGACCATCATCCAAATGTTAAGGTGACAGCAATGCTGCCCTTGGCCTTCTGAAAAGATATTACACCACGTACAATTATGAGATGCAAGTTGGCTGTTCCTATGGACTGAGACAAGGACGTTTAAATCTCAGTGGGGCATGATTTTCAAGGAGAGAAGGACATCCCATCAGGCAATGAGTCTCTGACGATGAACCCAACTTTCCCTCCAGCATTTTATTCCTCTTGCTACATCCTTTAATCAACTGCTGCTCTGCGGAGAGCGGCAGGCCGTCCATGCGTCATTCTTTTCCAACTGCCCTTTGACAGAACTAACACTTCCCTCCTACTGTTTATTGTAATTCTTCTCCAGAATTCTCACCTCCCCTGCTGTTATACAGCATTTCTGGAATAAATGTTCTATTTCCAATGTCTCAACAAGTTTCGAAGTGACTTATATCCACATGCGGCACTGCATATCCACACTTCCCAATAGTCTTAAATTGTTCCTATCTCAATTTACTACTGAAATTGATTATGTTGATTATCAGGATGTTTACTTTCTTCTTAAAAATAATATTTGGAGTGGAGAAATAATAGTCGAAATAATCTCCTCTGATCTGTCAGTCAAACTCTGCTAACTCAGGATAAAGATAATTTTAGTGACAGCTTCCTCTAAGATTTCCACCAGCAAAAGTTAAAATATTTTATCAGTGTCTCACTAACAAAAGCAAAGGTTTGATTTTAGAGATGTGCCTTCTTCATGCAAGGAGCTGGATCTCATGTAGATGAGTCAGCTGAGAGGATCTGAGATCAAGGTGTCAGTGGGGCTAGGTTTTGGGGAGGCCTGTCTTCCTGGCTGGCAGGAAAATGTCCCCATGCTGTCCCTTTGCAAGACAGAGAAAACAAGGAAGCTCTCTAGTGTCCTTTCTTATAAGAGCACTGATCTCATCAAAGGCCCCATCCTCGCGAGTGCCACTAACCCATATTTCCTCCCCAAACCCCTCTCCAAATAACAATCATGTTAGAATTTAGAGCTCCAGCAGACGAACTTGTGGGTGGGTGGGGAAACAATTCAAATCATAACACCATCACTGTGCACACTGGGAAAACTGCGAAGATTACAACAGAGATTCCATACTGCACCTGGAATATTGTTGCACATTCAATAAATACTTGTTACATTTGTGGAGAAGATACACAAAAGCCTAGCTCATCACTAGACCTATCCTTCTAAATCCACAGTGACACATGGTTAAGCAAATGAATCACTTCTGAATAGCTTCCTAGCACCTCCATACTCTAGGATTAGAGACCAAACTCTGAACCCCATTTCATTAGCTGGGTAGACTATTTCATGATCTGTTGCCAAACTCCCTGAGTGCTTGCTAAATATCTGCCACGAATTCAGTTTTGTTTTTGTTTTGTTTGTTGTTTGTTTGCCACAGAGCCTTAGGTGGTTACCCACTCCAGCCACAACAACAAGGATTAAAGTCAAAGGGATGCTGGAGTGAGGTAGTGCAAAATCCAATCTCAACCATTTCATGCTTCAGAGAAACTAGAAAAAAAATCCCAGAATTTTTCTGGTAATCTTAAGGTGTCTAGGTTGTAAACAGCTTCAAATTAAAATAATGTCAGTTAAATGATTTTAAACAAAGTCATATTTTACCATTTCAATAACTGCCCATTCTCTTCTAACAGTGGGCAATGACTATCTCTTATACCTCCTTCTTTGGAAGCTGCTTCTGAAATTCTACTTGGCTTTGGCATGATGGTTAATCTGGGTGTCCTGACCACTCAAAGAAGTCCCTTAAGTTCCGTCTGTGCCTCCAGATCAGCTCATCAGGCTCTCCCTTAGGACTTTGCTTGTTGAACAGTGTTGTGAAGACAAAAGAAGCTGCCGGAGTTTATTCATTCCAGGAGCGGCACCTTAGTAAGCAAGCAGTGTTCGTCCTGCTTTCTGATTTATTTCCCAGCTGGACTATTTGTTTTTCCCTTAAATTTGGAGAACACACTTACAATACCGTCTCTTTCTAATTAAATCAGCTAGAGTTAGACTCTCCAGCTTTTCAACCACAAAATCCTAAGCAAAACCTGTTCTCCACTTCAGTCTTTCAGGTAACACACCCTAAAATCTGAGTGTCCTGTCCTGCTTGTAGCTGACTGGTGACACAGACAGTCCAGCACCCAGAGAGTCACTTCCCTTTCAGGATCATCTTTGTGTTGGTCTACTCAACCATGGCCATGACAACTGGGTATTTACCAGATGGACTGTGCCAAGAAGCAATTATGAAATCATTTCACACAGAAGGGACTAGAAGGAACCAGTGGCTCAAACAACAGAAGACAAAAGTGTACATGCATCAACCCTTTCATTCTTAAAGTGACTCTGTATAATTGCACATGACAGACTTAAGGCCAACACATAAAAAAAAATAAGGCAGATTTCAGGTCAAACTTAAGTGGATCAAAATGTTACTAATTAGAGCTGCTTTCCCCAAAGCAATCCTTCTGATGTGGTTGAGACTGTAAATGATCATCACAGAAAATCTCGAAGCACAAATTGGGTTGGTTCCCTGGATATACATAAAGTGGAACACTGGACACCATGAATATTTACAACTTACATTCCGAGAGAGCCTCTATAATTACTATTTTCCTCCCTCAAATAACACAAAACAAAATACATAACATATCAAGGGGGAGGGGAAGCCAGAAGGAACCAAAAAAAGAATGGAAATAGCATTTTAGAAAACACCACAGGTCCAAAACTTCCCTTGCTATCCCCACCCACTAATTTGGAGACAAGCAAATAGAAGCGCGGATATAATCAGTGTCAGGGAAACCACATGAAAGTGGCGACGGCCTTGATTCCCCTGCCCTTAGCATGTTGCATGCAGGAGATCACCTCAGGCATAGTTCTTCGAACCTAATAGTATGACTTAGGGGAGTTGGGGAGCAAGTGTCTAGCCTAGTGATGAAGACACCCTGCCCCACCCTGAGTGCCTTGGTTGAATTCCTGCCTCTGGCTTCCTGCGAACATAGGCAACAATAGCTCTGGTGCAAGCAATTAGATGCCTGCTATCCACATGGAGGGCCTCAGCTGAGGGCCGGTCCCGATCGCGGAGGGAACTGCAGAAGCAAATCATCAGATGGATGCTCTCTCCGTCTCTATTTCTCAAATAAACTATTTTAATAAAAGAAAAAAAGGGTGTCCTCACTATCACTCTGTTCTCCAACACTCCAGTCCAGAATCCACCAACCCCCAGGGCTGTGGGATCACAGTGGATCTTCCCGGGAGGAAGATCAAGATCAAGTTATCAGTCAAAGCAAATGTGATAAAAAAAAAGGGGGGGGGGGGAGGGAGGGGGAGAAAGAAAAAGCAAAGTAACAAGAACAAAAGGTTGGGAAAAAGTGAAGATGGTGAAAATCATGCTGTGGAGAAAGAAGGCCAGAATTGCACACAACGACCCCTGATTGGCAGCAGTTGGAAGCTGGGTACCTCCCACAGATATTAAAAAATAAAAAAGACTGGTGAGGAAAAAGGGATGCACATTCAGGGCTGGCGTCAGGGAAGTCAGAAGCTGAAAACACCCGTGTAAGCAGGATTGTTACATAAGTTCAGGGTCCGTTCTAGAATTCATTCTTTTCGACCACCGCTATAGAATCAAATAGTCAGAGCATATGATATTTTTATGCTGCTGAATATTTTTCTCTGCTTAATTTAATGAACCAAGGAAATAGAGAAACAGAGGGAGAAGCAGGAAGATCCAAAGTGCACGCAGGGATTTAGCAGTCAAAGGTACATAAGAAAAACTCACTAGGAAAAGGAAAGTGTTGTCTAAGAACAGAGGGTCATTAACCACTCCACCTAAAAGCCTGACTTACGGTTTCGCTTTCTTTTTCTCTGCTGCCGGGGGGAGCGTGGGAATGGCAGCTTGAGAGAGGATCCCCAGCCAGAGAATGAACACCCATCCAGCACAGGTGGCTTCCGTCAGAAGCCGGGATTCCAACGCCCCATCTTGAACTGGAAACACGATCTGAAGTTTAAAGTCACAACTCACAAGTGCAGGCTCCAGACCTACAGAGGTAGAAAAGAGCTCTGGTAGTCGGACCTGAGCAAAAGTTATGAGAGAGGCAGAATCCAGGGCCACCAAGAGCACTTGCTGAATTCTCTATTTCTTGTGCTGAAGAAACAGACACCAGAAATACCCACCTGCAAACCAAACCTCAAAGATACACGAGTTCTTCTTGAAGTCAACTTTCAGTAAAGCAGGAAGCAGAAAGAAACACAGCAAATATGTAATAATATTACAATGTTTCACAAAGAAAGATTGCATACGATAAAGATGCCACTTTAAACAAAATAACTCAGCAGAGCAGAAGAAAAAATACCGTTATGAAACCTCTATCAATTGAAAGCTTTACTAGGAATAGAAAAAAGTAATCAGATGCCCCCACCATGTGATAAATGATATGATATTATAATAAAGTTGGAGAATTTAACAAACCAGGCCTAAAAAAAAATTCCATTATAAAATTAATACACTGAGAACATACAGGTTATAACTGAATACTCAGAAAAGACCTGGTATGTGCCAGACACTGCATTTTATATATATTTACATGTGTACTCCCTAAAAGACTCTTCAAGGTCAAGATTATTGCTTTTCCATATTACAGAAGAATAACAAGAATAACCTAAGAGACAGAAATGTTAAATAAAGTCTTGTTAGGTCCAGTGCAATAGCCTAGAAGCTAAAGTCCTCCCCTTGCTCACACCAGGATCTCATATGGGCACAGGTTCTAATCCCCACAATCCTGCTTCTCATTCAGCTCCCTGCTTGTGGCTTGGGAAAGCAGTACAATATAATCCAATGCCTTGGGATCTTGCACCTTCTGTGAGACCCAGAAGAAGCTCCTGGCTCCTGGCTTCAGATTGGCTCAACTCTGGCCTTGCAGCCTCTTGGGGGACTGAATCAATGGATGGAAGATCTTTCTCTCCATCTCTCTTCCTCTCTGTATATCTGATTTTCCAATAAAAATAAATAAGTCTTAAATAAAGCCTTGACAAAGTCTTGACAAAGACCATGAAGTTCTGTAGAGACAAAGCCAGGTTGAGTTCCAGGGGCACACAAAAGCTGGTATCTGTGCTTAGTTGGCTGACTTTCACATCTGCACACGGGCTCACTATAAAATACCACCTTCCACCTGGACTTGAAAGAACAGCCCAAATTAAAAACCTTTGAGCAGATGTAGTCCTTTTCAAATAACTGCGAATCACCAGAAACCATTTCATCACCAATTCAAGGGGCCAAATGAACATTGCACCACAGCCATTAATGGCAAACAGGCTTGGGGAGTGTCTCTTACTCAGAGATCTGGGTAATTATGTAAGACAAGAAGGCATTTGAAAACAGAAACTTCTTCAGAGAAAAGCTATATAATCTACTTACGACCACTCAGCTGTGTGCTTTGGAGGGTAAGATTGAATTATAGCTGTCTCGATGCAATTACTCTGTGCTTTCCAGTGTGCCTGAACTATAAGTGTTAAGTACTCATTGAATGCATTATATTTATTCATACACAAAAGAAATAATTTTGATAGAAAAATAAAGAAAATGAATGCAAAAGAAAAGGAATTGTGTAAACAAAAAGGCAGCAAATGGAAAGATAAGGATATGCCTACGACACCTATAATTGGATTCTTTAAAGATAGCAGCACAATTCGTTGAACTACTGAAAAATAAACCCAAAGAAAGAATACAATAAAATTTTTCTTAACAGGAAAATCACGTAAGCTAAAGTTACGAATTTCCAGGAAAAACTGACATAGACCATGGACATGAAATATGTCCTGGTAGAGTTGCTAAACAGTAAGTATAAATTCAAAACTTAATTTTTAAAATTGTGGTTCATTTAGAGAATAAGGAGAGAGAGTTCCCAGCTTCTGCACAGTTATGTCAGCTGCCACTGCTGTCTCGCATAACCTGTATAATCGGGAAGCTAGAGTGAGGAGCCAGAGCCAGAGCCAAGATCAGACCCAGATATTCTGATCAAGAGATACAGGCATTCTAACTGACATCTTAACCACTAGGTCAAATTCCCACCCATGGATAAATTTTTAAGAAGTTGAGGTTGAGATACAATGAATATTTAATACTGATCACAAATCTTACCATAGCAATCGCCAATGTCAAAACAAAGCTGCAATGACTGAAAGCTCTGATGCAAGGTATGATCCAAAATATCACAATTTTTAACAACTCCTTAATAAGTAGTTTATGGATGCATTTTGAATGATGGAAGTATAATCATGCATATACTAAAAAATTAACATTTTACTCTGATACCTCAATCTCCCATCAAAATGGAAAGTACTGCTTAAAAATTACTTCTGTTTTTTTCAGAAAAAAATTTTATACATAGACAAGCACATGAAAGAATTGCAATGTTCTGTGGAAAATGGATTTAAAATATGAGTTTATTTGGTGCAAAAACTTTTTGATATAAATAAATCATTTTGGCAATATGTGGAAAATGCATATTACAAAGAAATAATAAATGTGTTTTCAAAAATGCACCGAAATAATCTTATGTTTTCTATTCTAGCTTACATAAATTTGCTGAAGTGTCTTCTTGTGTATATTTCATTAGCTTGATTTTCCCTGAAATCAGTGCTAAGACAAAAATTCTCTGTAGATAGCTTGAGTTAGGCAGGGAGAAAAGGCAGTACAAGAATCCAGCACTGGATGCGCAACCAACACTAAAAGTAACTGCACTTAAACTTGCAGGCTCTTGTGATGAAATAAAATGGGCCTCTAATCTATACCAACTTACCCCGGGAACAAAATGGGAAGCCCCTGCCTATTGGCTCTTTGCTCCCATGATCAAGAGCGACCTGCCCGTTAATTCCCATGGATGTCCAGGCTTTCATGCATGAATGCTCAATGGGTTTCTGTGTCTCTCTGCAACGTCAGGCAGGTCCTGTCTGTAGCAACCTTATGGACTGAATGTTTGAATTCCTCGAAAATTCATATGTTGATGCCCTAACTCCCCAAGATAATATTTGGAGATAGAGTTTTCAAATATAATTTTTTAAAGTTTTATTCATTTATTTTACTTGGAAAAGAGTTGCAGAAAATGTGGGAAAGAGAGAGAAAGAAAAACAGAGAGCGCTCAGTAGTATATTCTGGGTCTCCTTTGTGGATGCAGAGACCCAAGGACTTGGATCATTCTGCACTGCTCTCCCAGGACACAGGCAGGGAGCTGGATTGGGAAGTGAAGTAGCGGATGCATGTGCCCAAATGGGAAGCTGGTGCAGCAGGCAGAGCATTGACCTGTTGGGTCACCATGCAGGCTCTATATTTAGGTTTTGATGAAGTCATGAGGATGAAGTCCCATGTTGGGGTTATTTTCCTTGTACAAAGAAGAGACTGAAATTTGACAGAGAGAGAAGGCAGACTTGTGACAGCCAGGAAGAGTCCTCACCAGGCACCCAGCTGACCAGCACCTGGATCCTGGATTGCCAGCTTCCAGAACTTTCATAAGTTTGTGTTGCTTCAGAAGTGCTGTTACTGATACTTATGGCAGCTGCTGCTGATGGAGACAGGCAGGAAGTGAGCGGCACACAGCGCAAGCTGCAAAGGCAATCAGAAGCCATTAGTGCAGAGACTGTGCAAGCCTGCAAAGAGCGTGCCACAGGGGCAGTGGCTGAAGTGAGCGGACTGGGGTCAGAGCTGCTTGTGCTGAATGGGAATCAGAGCTACTGCATTCACAGCTGCACAAATATTCACTGTTCTTTTCCTCCACAAAGAGTAACATCATACTCCTCTCACCCCATACCTCATTCTAAACCACTCGCAATCTATCTTGCAGATGGTGCTATATCAGCATAGACATTACTTATTTTAATAACTACATAGCATTCTATTGCAAGAATGCATTTTAACTTATTAAACCAGCTTCCAATTGATGGATATTGAAACTATTCTCAGGCTATAAAAAAGGCTTCACTCACACACAACCACCCCACACACATTCCTCATATCCTAGTGCGTGCATGTAGACAAATCTCTGAGAATACTCCCTACAGGCTAGATTGCTGGGTCAAACCATGAGCTTTAAACATTTTGCTAAATATTGATAAATTGTTCCTAAAGAAGAATTTTCTGTTTGCCTTTGCACAAACACATGAGAGACTGTGTTCCCAGATTTGCAACAGAGTATCTTTAATTTTTTTTTTCATTTTTGCCAGTGTAGGAGGTGAAAAAGGACTTTATTTTAATTTGCATGTGTATGGTATGGGTAATCACTGAATATTTCTACTTGTTTAAGCGCTTTTTATATCTTCTTAGATTACCTGTTCATATTTGTTGGCCATTTTATATGATATTCTGGGGCCATTTGTATTAAGGAAATCAGTCTTTTGTCACTTTGTTATGAAATATCACTGCTTAATGCTTGTTGCTTCTGTGCATTGCTATTTATGCTTTGCCTAAAATTAAAAGCTTCAAAGGATTAGGAGATCTCAAAACTCAATGTCCATTACCCTCTTCAGTCCCCAGATAGCAGCAATGCTTGGAGCTGGGCTGATCCAAAGCCAGGAGCCAGGAGTGTCTTCTGCGACTCCCATGTGAGTGCAGGGGCCCACATAGGATGCTGGCATCAGGGATGATGGGCTAATGTACTATGTCACAGTGCTGCCCCCCTGACAGATTTGTAAAAGCACAGGTAAATCAACAGCCCCCAGCACAATTAATCTAAGAAATCACACAGCAGCTGCTGTGTCCTGGCAAGGAGGCTGTGTGGGCTGGGCAGCTGGACTTCAAGGAACAGCTCCCGCCCAGCCTCATTCCTCTCTCCCAGCAGGTCCTTAGCAGAAGGATCCTTGGGACTTGATAAGGTATCTTCCCTGCGGAGTGGGAAGGGGTGGAGAGTGGTCATGTGTGCTTGGTTCTCTGCTTTTCTCTGTTTTTAATTTTGTAATTATTTATAATTTTGTGATAACAAATTATTTTATGATTCCATGGGCTCTGGGATTTCCCTTCCTTCCTCCTCAAACTCCCAACTCCCATTGATTTTCCCTGTATCATCACAATAGTACAGTCCTTCATGATCAGTCATAAGTCCATCATTCTGCTGTTTAAGTGTATACTGATGTTGTAGGCATGGACAATGACAGAGGGTCCAGCATCCT